GGTACGTGCCGCGTATATTCGCATATGTTCCTTAGCGATTATTTTTGTATTTAGAACTTCTATAAGTTGGGCCTTTTTATAATGCTCTATAAAATATAAATCTTCAACTAAAAATTTTTTGATGTCTTCTTTATTAGACCATTTGGTTGGAATCTTACAAGTTTTCCTTGAATGATATGATGCATTATCAAAGACAATCACACTGTTTGTATGTAGTGCTGGCAACAGTTTTTCTTCGAACCAAGACTTGATAAGATTTCCTTCGATATCCTGGTGATAATCTAAAGAGCTATCTTTAATGTGTTTTGAGCTTAATAATAATGCATTATTTACTCAGCCCTCTTCAGTGTAGAATGAAAATGCCCTCGAGAATGGGGAACTACCGTTTTACATTTCCAACTATCATTTGTGTAGGCTTTACGAATAGTATCGTGGCTATCAAACCATGTTTAATCCAAGTAATAGATGTGCCTTATTCCTATATTGCGATACTCCCAAATTTTCGATATATATTCGTTTCTCCACTTTACTAAATGACTAGATACTATTATAGTTTGTCTTTTATTTACTGTTTTATATCTAAAACCATGTTTTTTTAAATATCTTCCAAGTGTTCTAACAGAACATACCTCAAGGAAATGTTTCTTTTTTAATTCTTCTAGAATACTTCCAAGATTTAGCATAATGTTTAGTGTGTAGGTACATACTGTAGAATTTTTCATATATTGACGCTTTGCCGGACCTAGTTTAATGATTTTGTATACTGTAGCCTGGATAGCATCTTTACTGGGCATTCCTCGACTACAAAGCCGGTTAAAAACAGATAAAATAGCATTTTTAGCGTCTAGTAGATTCTATTAGAACATCTACTCAATCTGCAAACTGTATTTCGGTTTTTCTCACAATAGAACAATTAAATAATTAAATAATTAACTCCTTAATTCTGCTTAATTCCCGCAATCCAGCTGTCAGTTGTCACATCTAATCTGAAAAACCATACATATGCATCGATTGCAGCAAAGTTGGATGAAAAGGCAGCGGTATTAGTTCATTATTGATAGATTGATGTAAAAAAGACAGGTAGATAGATACCGCACTGATGTCAACGTTGCTGCAACACTTGGATAAAAAGGTATACGTTTCGCAACAACTTTTTGATCGAGGTCATCTCGTAAAATGTCACGTGGTACTGATTGCTCTAAAGATATTTATCTTAAAGGTAAATTATAATTCTTAAATTTTAGGGACCTTATTTGAATGTTTTTTATAGAGACTGGACTACAAAACAATATTTATGTGATTAGCTTCGACATCACAGCTCGGTTGTCTGTTAGCCGAAGATCACATTGCAATGTTTCTTGAAATTTATTCTCTTTTGCGTTTGTTGACATGCACGTTTGGGGTACGATTTTATTTGAAAAGTGAATTGATCACTACTTGTAAGTTCGTTGGTAAATTACCTATATTATCTGATTAATCATCTTGTATATTAATTAGTGTTGTCACGTGTTTTTCAAGTGATTTACGAGCCTTAACTGATTGATATCCATAATGTAGAGAATTCTGAATTCAGCCTGTTTATTAATGTCTTTATGGGATCAGTTTTAAAGGACTAAATATCTGTATTTTGTGTTGATGTACTATTTTCATATTAATATCACAATGCATAAGAGATACACATTTTTGAGAAAATTTTGTTGTTTCCTTGGAAATTTGGACGCATAATTTGTAAGAAAACATAATGTCCTAAAAAAAAATTCACCTCGCGTCAAGATTATTTAACAATATAAACATAACTTTGAGGTACAATTTAACGTTAGTTTTATTTGTTTACAAGATAAATACTTCAAATATTAAATTAATATTTGAACAACCAAAACCAGTTTTGTCCATTTTTTGAAAAACTTAACATTGACATCTCATGGGATTGGGTGAAAAAACTGCGGCAATCAGTTTTTCTCTAGTTCCGTTATTTTTTCGTTTCATATGATTTGACAACACAGCTTTATATAATAATAATGAAATGTCAGAGCACATAACCTATAAAAAATATTAGTGATTATTAAACATGGTGCAATGGGTCAAACTTTCAGGCCAATCCCGAATCTTTTCAAAATTTTTAAAATAAAATGTAAATTTATCGCACCAAAAACAAATGTCACTAATTCGTCATTGAAACAATAATTGTACCTCTTTCGCTGTGCGACCGTATCTGTAAGTGTGGAGGGTGGGTTAACCCACAGCACTTAGGCCTCACTAGGGCCGTTGTGCATCCTCTTAAGTAGATAGGTACCTCCTAGTTTGTGAGCCAGCCTACAGATTTAATGTACTTGACAACCTCGCCGGTAATAGCCAATTTTCGCTGAACACAAATCTTCTAATAGATGAGAGCGTCGAGCAATCGTAGAGGATATGCTCGAGGTCTCATCTTCTTGTTGATACCCCCTGCAGAGACTTAGAGTCGCCGAGAGTTATAGTAGGGCCCAGGGGCATTTGACATTTTATAAAAATTCAAGTCCTTTCTATGTTACATTTCTAAAAAAAAGGTCCTCACCCTGTATTTTTCGTAAACTAGGTCCGTTTTGTTGCGAACTTCTCAAAAAACGTCTTCAGCTAAAGCTGCCGGGCCCCGGGAATTTGTCTCCCCTGTCCCCCTGTCCTCCTTGTCCCCCTGTCCCCCTGTCTCCATTGTCCTCCCTGTCCTCCCTGTCCCCCTGCCCCCTGTCCCCCTCTCGTCGGGCCTGTGCAGAGTGCGGATTCTGCCAGCCCCATGATATGAAGATGCTTCCGTAGTTAGCAATGTCCAGTCAGAATGCCTCTGTGATCAGGCACAGATTCTGTCTAGTCACGTATTAGTTAAGTATCTATTTGTTTGTGCAACCGTGAAGCTCCAACCATTCAGCGACATTGACAAGTGACGTCAATTCACAACTTGCAATAAAGTTTTATAACTTTTAATAAAAAGACGTCTTTGTCCGGCGTACGTTTTAAATCAGTTGGTCAATAACGCTCACTAGTGGTAATTTCTATAACGAATATGTTAAAATTTAATGGACGTTAAAAATGTAACGTATGTTAAATATGAAAAGCAATTCTGAAAATTCATGAAAAGTTTTAACTTGTCATAATTAACATAATAGTTCATTTGTGCCGCAAAAATCTTTTCTATAAGCAGAAATATGTTAAAAATTTAACATAAATGTCTTAATTTTATACGTTAAATCTAAGATATTAACAGCTACTAATTAGTAGGCTTTAAAGCTTGACATACAAGAAATTATGACTTTTAAACGATTAATTCAACTTATAATGCAAGATTGCAAGAAAATCATGAAAAAAAATGGACCATTTTGAAAGTACTCAAGAAATTTTAACAGTTGCAATTACACAATATCTATTTAGAAATTATGTTTCATTTATAATGTATACAAACTTTTTGTTGTTAGTAATTAATTTGCGGTATAAGGGGACTATAATAAGGTTACTGGGGTTAGTTTTGTTTACTTTTTTCAATATTCTTCTGCAAAAACAGACAGATACAATAAATATGACAAAAGGAATGACATTTATTGGACATACCTTAAAACTTAACCATACTTTTATTGCAAATTTGAACTACTTTTAACGTATGTTAATCTGTTTGAAAATTTAACGTATGCGTTAATTTTAGTTTTACAGAATTACAATTTATGTTAAAATCGTAAAATTTAACACCCGTTAGAAATAAACGTATTGAATTACAGAATTACCACTACTGCGTCTTAGGCGCAATAATAAAAAAAATCATATTGTTACAGTCAGCGAATTAAGATATCGCCGCCACTGGGTCGACGATACCACGTCTGCCCTGTTAGAGTCAGCGAATTAGGATATCGCCACCACTGGGGTCGACAATACCAGGTCTACCCTTCCTCCATGGTCTACCCGTTTCAGTGTCCAGGACCAGGATACCTATTCTCTAAGTCATGGGAGCACTCCCATACTCCCATGCCAACGTTGCCAAGTCGACAGAACAACTTTGATCTACTATTTAAGAGCCGATTCCACCGTTGTGTTAAACGGAGATTAAAGTGACATTGTTAATGTAAAAATGTCATTTTAAACTTCGTTTAACACAACGGTGGAATCGGTCCTAAATAGTTCAAATTTCCTTTGTGATAAATACGGACCTAAATCTGGCAAGCCCGCAATTCTCCCTCGCATGATATAAAATCTGACCTTACTACGCATGTACCTGGGCTAAAAGTGAGTAAGCACGATATACCCATCTAAGAGTAAGAGAGCAAAATATATGGGAGCACTCCCATGGGAGCGCTCCCATGACTTAGTGAATAGCTATCCAGGGGGGCTATTTTCAAAGTATGGGAGCACTCATTTCTCTCAAGATTCTCATCAGAAATGTCATACGTCAATGTGGAAATGTTGTTTTTAAAGGCATCGAGGATTAAAATTCTTAGGAAGATTTTAATTCTCTCTAAATAAACCGAGAGAAACAGTCAGTGAGTTCACACTGGCCCTAACAGCCCTAAAAATACGCTTTTACGATGACGTATGACATTTCTCTTGAGAGAAATAAATTCTCTCGAGTTTGAAAATAGCCCCCCAGGAGAGCGCCGAGAGCGGGGACTTGACGTTCGACCATCCGAACGCTATGAAGTGATAGGCAATATGCCGTTAAAGACATTCTTTATTTTGTTCCTTAATTAATTACATTACAAACATTGTTTACGAGATATTCAATAAAACATTATAAAACCATGTTAACACGTGTTTTATGAGGTGACTATACAGGGTGTTATAGTATATAGGGTGATAAATCATTTTAAAACAATAATTTTGAAGTTAATTATTTTAACTTCTAACAATATATTCCAGAAACTCTAGCCATGGGTATGTTTTATTTTGTAGGTAATTGTTGAAGAAAATACCTACATATATTTTGCATAATTTGCTAGTGGAAATTAATTGAAAAAAATTATCGAGGAAAAAATTATACTCACGGACAAATTTTATCCAAATCAGATTTGCTGTGAAATAATGGTAATCCTGAATCGGTTATTACTGAAAGCCGTTTCGTGCAATCAACTAAATTTTGAAAACTGCAGTGATCGTCATTTCCTTCTGCTGTGGTAATGATAGCTAAAAAAAAATCATTACATTTTATTTTGTTGTCGATAAATGTATTTCAACTTTCTGTTCCCTGTAAAAATGCCGTTACAGATTTCTCAATATAATGAGGTCTATTTTGTAACAATTCCTTTATCCGTTAAAATATTGAAGGCCTTTAAAAATATTTTCGGATTTACTAAATTACTTCTGTCATTATTTAAATGGATTCCTTTAAAATACATTAGAGGACTATGTTAAAGAAACCCGTTTAAATAATGACAGAAGTAAATTAGCGAATACGAAAATATTTTTAAAGGCCGCCAATATTTTAACGGATAAAGGAATTGTTACAGAATAGACCCCATTGCCTGTAATATTTTAAAGAGTCAAACAAAAGTATTTAAAAAAGTACACAGCATTAATTTCAAGCGTATTTTAATAATTCTATCTAAATTATTCTATCTAAACTTTTTGAAATGTTACGAATGTGCCATTTTTCGAAGATTAGGACTGTCGCAAGATGGAATTTTAAAAAATTATCGTTATTTAAGCATACCTCGAAATTATATTTAGATAGAGAGTATAATGAGTATGATACCAGCCATATGACAGCGATTATAACTGACAGATAATGGCTTGAATAGAAAGAAATTGCACTTCATCTACTACCTAACAATATTTTGATTTGACTTGTTTTTGTGTGTGATTTACAGTTCATCAAATTTCTAGAGGCTTTCGACGGCTAGACAGAGAAAGCACTACTGACAGGCATCCCGACGGATTTACGCAATGAAAGTACACTCTGCGCATCAAGTATTTCACTATTTCATTCAGACGTAAATGTCAGATGTAAATTTCGCTAAAACATTTCTTTTATTTTTGTTTGTGTTTTTTGCTCATTACAGTTTAATAGAACCTAAGTATGGAGTTTAATAGCAAATTAAGAGGCCGCGTGATTAACAGTCAATCTCGCGAAATAATAGCCAATGTTATAGAGTTTATGAGAAGAGAAGGAAACTTTAATTCACCTTCAATACCATTTAAAAATGTAAATGATCGTGTTGCTGCAGCCACAGGAGTATCTAAAAACACTGTCGTCCGCATTTCTGGAGAGAAAAAAAGAATCGATAACCGTGAGATATCGGAATTTTCATCACCAAGAAAAACCATTAAAAACCAAAAACAGTTAATGATATAGATGAAGCTGCACAAGAATCAAATTTTATTTTTTTATTATTAGATAGCTATTTTTGTTTCTGAGTTGTGTTCATTTACAGGCTCAATTTTTTTCCGTTTCTCCTTTTTGATTTTATATGGGGTTTCAAGTTGTTTTTGACTTATTTCGACGTAAATCACAACAACACACTTTTTTAATAAAGCAAACAATTGTTAAGAGGTATATGTACGTGTAAACTACAATTACAAAAAATTGATATGAAACCCATAAAACCACCAACAAAAATGTAAAGCTAGCTTCCGTACTAGAACATGGTGTCATTCGTCGAGATAATTTATCGTTTTGTTTAATAGATCAAGAAATGTAAATATTCCCGTGTTATTTTTTATAAAATTATAAGAGAAATAAATTTTTTTCTAAATAGTATAGTTTATTATTTTGTAGAAAAACAAAATTTCGAAAATTTTAGTAATGTTTCAGAAACAACCGTTATTAATAATAGGTACCATTTTCCTTAATAAGGTAGAAATAAAATATAAACTATTTCCACGATTTACAAAGGCCTACAAAAAAATTATAGGTATTTTCCGCTATCCTATAAAATTTATATTTTCTGACTCAATTTCAAAAGGTTGAAGGAATTCCAAAACACCTTTTATGGCATAATAATTATTTTCAATTCTACATACTATCTTTAGCTGCTTTTAAAAACGTTCTAAGAAAGTCCAATCAGACCAATTTAATCCCTAAACTATTCCACACTTTTAAAATTTAATTACCTAAAAATATTAAAAACTATTTAAAATAACTTGTTTAGCAGACTGTACAATAGCTATCTTAGTCACACGTAGCGCGTTCTCTGTCTGGGCGTCGAACACCTCTAGAAATTTGATGAACTGTACTAGTATGAAAAAGAAGCGAAAAATAGACAGCGAATGCAGAACATTCAAAGATCAATAGAACTTTCAATATTTCGTGATTTGAGTCCAGTAATAGGGCGCTATGTTTGATTTGCGGATGAAACCATAGTCGTTCTCAAAAAATATAACATTATACGTCATTATGAAATGAAACATTATTTGCAACAAAATTACTCATAATATACAGGAAGTATGCGGGCAGAAAAATTTGAAGCTTTGAAGCGCGGATTGAAATCGCAACAATCTTTGTTTACGAAAGTCTTGAAATCGCAAAACGTGGAAAACATTCACCGATGGAGAAATGATAAAAGAATGCGTAATTGCAGTAGCCGAAGAAATGTGCCCCGAAAAGGTTAATTTATTTAAAACTGTCAGTTTTTCAGCAAACACCGTTGCTTGGAGGATACAAGACATCGCAAAAAGTACATCATTTCAACTGTCTAACAAAAATGGACATCTTGTGTGGTTTTCTCTGGCCTTGGATGAATTAACAGATACTGCTCAGGTGTTGATTTTTATTCAAAGAGTAGATAAAAGCTATGAAGTGTATGAAGAACTTTTTGATTTATCAATATCAATGGCATGACTACTGGGAAAGATATTTTTAAGGGAGTTGAAAATGCCATTAATAAAAATAATCTTTGATGGAAAAACTTGAAATCTATTACAACTGATGGAGGCGAACTCATGTGTGATAAAAATTAAGAAGTGGTTGCACTTGTGTCAAAGGCTGTAGAAAATGAAAAATAACTGTTATAAATCATTTATTACTTCTCCTCTCTTAAATACCTTATTAAAATTTAAAATTCTTCCCAGATAATAAATATAATAATTTAACATAGTTACCACTGAGTTTTATGAGGTTAAGAACTGTCACTTTTAAGAATTTCATACCAGTAGCATGTACTTTAATTAAAATATTTAAATTATACCTGAAGAAATTAGTGAGTAGTAATTCTGAAATGTGTATTACACTCCATAAATATTAGAAAAAGCTTATACTGCATCAGTGGCGTAGCCAGCTATTTTTCACGGGAGGGGTTTTTGAGAACTATATGGGGAAATTCCATCAAGGAAGTGAATAAAAGCAAACAGTCGATAGCGATCAGCGCCAATACTGTAGCAGAAATTGTGACGCGAGGACCCTCCATGGGGGGATTTCGACCTCCCAAACCCCCCTGTAGCTACGCCACTGTACTGCATATTTAGACCAGTAAACTCTAGAAATAAATATGGAGCTGCCTTCAACAAATGTTTGGAACGGAGAGAAAATCAAACATTCACATCCGAATTCACAGAGCATTTTTAATTCGTTACCGGTATGTAAAACCTTGAAGGTAGTTAATGTTGACGACAATTCACAGAAGAATAGAGTTTGATGATGGCTTGCTTTTTCAATCACACTTTGAATCGTTTACTGTGATAGGTACAGTCAAATAAATGATGTTTTGTTTTCTTAAAGCATTAACATTATTAAAAATGTAAAAAAATCGCTCAGTATACTAAGATTATAATAATTAAATAACAATTCGAGAAATAACGACATTCATCATAATGTCGTTTCTATCTTTAATGCTATATATGTGGGTATATTTAAAGATAAGGATGCTTTGTGAATTAGCCTATCAATCTTTTTTGCAAAGGAGTACAAACGTATAAAGCCAGTAGCCAATATTAAAAAGTACTATTAACCTAAATTATAACATAAACATTCGTACCTACATATTGTGACGTTTGTTTATTTTAAACAACAGTTTATTTGTAAATAATTTATTTGAACACTTATTTATTTTATAACAATACTATTCTAATTTGTAAATTAAATATATTTCGAATGTCTTTAAATTGTTCACTATTTATCTTCACAACTGTTTATATTCGACTGACTGACAGTGTTCCTCCATCAATATTTATATTCACATTTAAAATTGTGGTGTTGGTCTAAAACGTTCTCACCAAAACTGGAATCATCACGTTCTACCTAAAATGTACTCGAAAGCGCCTTCGCCATATTATTCACATATGTTTAGTCTTAAGGGGTTTAATTATGTATGATAATCGGACAAGTTGAGCCTCAAAGGCCAAATAAGACAGAGGGGGATTTGGAGGATTAGAGCGTGACTGAATAATGAAATGGCTCGAATTACATTGCCCCCTCCTTAAAAGATAGTTCCTCCTGAAACTCTTATGAAACTAAAACTGAATGGTTGTATCTGCAACTGGATTCTCTTTTACAACTTCCAAATGCATGGAAGTAACAAGGGACAGTCTTCGCTATAACCTGAACGCTTGGAGAATGGCTGCAGAGCAGTATTTCAACCTGGGTATCTTGAAAGATTACTTCCACCATGTTTCTAATGATCCTCCAATTCAGCTGGTTGCTCTTTTTTTTGGTATAGCTAGTTTCTGTATAATTGGACTCCAGTAAATACTCTCTCAGACAATGTAATGCGATCCATCTTGAAGTTTTAGTGCTTTTCCAGGGGCTGGTAACTGATCTTGAAATTCTGGCAATCGACCAAACTTCTTACGAAAGACCAGTCCTCACGCGTCGTTGATGCTGGCAGAAGTACTACGGACCAGCGAGTAGTCTTTTGAAAGCGAGAGCAGATCTTGTTGTTGCTCAGTCGCAACACCATATCTGGCTTTTCCAGTACCTCTATATGCACCTATAAATTCTTCAAAGACAAGGTCAGGTGTTTCTTAAAGTTGGTTTACTTCTTCTCTATGATCACCCTCAAATGGCGCCAGCTTGTTTTAATACAACTCTCGAACTGTTTAAGGTAATTGGTCCATGACATCTTCCCGTCGAAAGTTGGGGCTTTAACACAAGCAGAATTTACAACTCCTTCCAATTTTAACTTCGACTCTACCTCATGGCACTTTATTTCACCGTCCTTGGCCGGTTATGTATGTTCCAGATCTTCTATCTT